TGAAGAAAATTATTTGACAGATGACAAACAATTCAGAACACTAGTTTGACGAGTGTGCGTATACTTTCGATAAATTCTCGTTATGCTAGACAATTTATATGGGAGAGAGGTACAAGTTTAAACGTGTTCGTAATTTTCGTACAACTGAGTCGTAGCTATGGCGGGGGTAGGGGCGTCGATATTAGAAGGCTGGTTATGAGGGCAGGGTTTGGTGGAGCAGTCTAGGGGAGCAAGGAGGGAGGGGGGAGGGAGACAAACAGAGGGCGGATGAATGCCTGCCGCTAAGTGACTGTGGACCACGCCAAATGTGGAACTTTTAGAAAGTTCTTTTATTCACACAACGCCGGCCTTATCAGCCTGATGGCGGTCGCTTCTATCGGTATTAGTAAGCGCTGACCCAGGGACTTTGGATAATTTGGTGGGACCTTGTAGATCACTCGAAAAGCTTTGTTGGGGTCTACCCGATATCCGTAATCAACCACATTCGCCAGAAAAGATCGGCTTATGCTCCTGACTTCACCTTTTTCTCAGTCATGCTGGGAGGTGTTCCTTTATTCTCTTGGATAGGCGCCAACTCGTGCGACCAATATAACCTGCTCCACGGGAGCAAGTAAAGGCGGAAATACACATGGAGGCGGTCTGAGATGGTAACCTATCCTTACCTTCCCCATGTAAGATTAGGTTGGTTGAGAATAATACCCGAACTCTGGCTGCTGGGACGGTTCGAAAAACGGCTTGGTCAAGGCGTCTTTTCAGCAGTTCACTTGCCGCGTTCCATCGAAAGGAGACTCCGAGAAATAGTGTTTTCTTTTCTGTAATAAGTGCAGTGGGTATTAGTTGTTTCTCAGCCATGTTCCTTATAATAAATCTCTCAGGATACCCGTTCTCAAGTTCTCAAGATTCTTGAGCTCCTCGGAAAGAAGGGAAAAAATGTTTAAATGTAGAAGTTTGACGGTTGCCTAGCAAATTGAGGTTAACCACTTGCTCCAACTGTTTGCATAGGTCGGGTTTCACCAGCTGTACTACCTGGACTACCCGCAGATAGCGAAGTTTACGAGTTGCTCGTACCGGGACAAGTACCTGCAGATAGCGAAATTTACAAGTTGCTCGTGCCGGGACAAGTACCTGCAGATAGCGAAATTTACGAGTTGCTCGTGCCAGGACAAGTATTCGGAAGGATGTTTTGGGGTCCACAGACTGACCCACGGAATTATATTTTCCTGCCTTAACAGCCATCTTGGCAGGTGTGTAGTGGCCCTAGCAGCCACTTGGAACCCAAGATCTGACGGACAGCGCCTTTGCCGTGCACGCCTAATGCCGGCTGCGGTCAGGTGCTAAGTCCCAGCACCCCCTGTCCGTTCTCGCTCAATGGTCTGAGCCATTTACTGACACACACGGCTTCATCTCGCCAAGGCAACCAATCACCATCAGTCTA